TCTTTATCCGTTATTTGCAGAGTTGGGTATTTGAGGACTGCTTGATGGCTGATTTCGCCATGGTATACACATGCGACACACTCGACGCGCGCGGATTTGTGTCCGCGCGTGTAACGATTGCGCAACGCCGCACGCCCACACACAGCTCGCAAAGCTTTGCAGACAGCCAAGACAGTCGAGATATAAATCCTCGAAAAGCAACGGCCGCAGCGGCGGAAAGAGTGTGTGTGTGTGTGTGCGGAAGAAGAAAAAGGAAAAGCAAGACGTCGTACATCCTAGTCCTAGATTGTCAAGACGCACGACGACGTTAGCTAGATATCAAGAGGGCGGATAATCACATATCTTACAGCGACACAACCAGCGATCACTAAGAGGAGACGAGGAGAAGTTCTTGTGTGCAGGCGTATGAGTTATACAATTATATGCACAGTTATATTAAGTAAAATGTGAAATTGTATGTTTGTTAAGCTTTTATACGAAAATCATTGAACGGATTTTGATAAAATTTTGTATAAAGATACTTTTGATCATGGAAAAGTAAATAGACTACTTTTAACCACAAAATATAAGAAAATGTTAGTTACAACACTTATAACTCAAGAACGACTGAACAGATTTTGATGATCTATGATTTATTACATACGTCTAGGCGTGGAATAAAAGAATAATTATTAAAATATCAAAAATTATGACATACAGGGTGTAAATTAGAGATTTAAATTGTTATTGAGATTCAATCATAGTTATAGCTAAATAATTGAATCAAAGATAAACTAAATTAATATTATTAGCATTTCCCACGCTTTTAAATAAAAATTCATAAATTTAATATCAGATTTAACTCATAATAAGTCGAAAAAACAAGAAACTCTTAAATAACACTACATTTTATCAAAATAAAAAGTAAAATCTGAAAATGATTTATGAGAAAATCCACAATCCACAACAAAGCGTGTAATATAAGATTTTATGCATGAACGTGACTTTGGTAATAGTAAAACGTAAGTAAAATGGTTCACCAACTCGATTTTGCTGGGAAAAAAGCCCATTCATACGAAATAAATAACAATCGCATGGGAGCGACGATTAATGAACGGAGTGAGCGCGCGCGGCCTGAACGAGAGACGACAAACCCGCGTCTTGTGCGCCACACGTAAATTACAATTTACACGCGAGTACGAGTGCAATTGTGCGCGTGCACACGCGTTCGCCATACGCAACGAACGACATCCACCCACCCACCCAGGGTGTCACGAGTGTAACGAGCGACAGCTTGTTACTCGCCGCACATTTATCTGCTAGGCGATAAACTCGCGCCATTCGCGACACTCGTGCATGTATGCATTTAATTTGATTAATCATAGACAACACGTAATTTGGAATAATCAAATGATAATAAAAGATGTCGGTTTTAATCAAAATGAATCATATTTTGTGTAATTTCATGTAAAACTTGTTATATCTTTCAAGATAATAAATTTATGTTAAAAACGTCTTTAAAACTATATTTAGATTTAAATACTGAATCTTGAAATGTAAATATGTCATCGTTAGCAGTTTCTAAGAATAAGTAACAAGAGAAGTTAAGTAGCTTTCGTGAATTTTTACTAAATCAATTTTAATTGTGTATAACTTTTTTCGTTATAAGCTGATCAACAAAAAGTCCGCGTACTTCGATGAAGAATTTAGTGCTAAATATATACTAAATAAATCATTATTGCTGCGCTATAGCAATCGGAGTAATTAACTATTAATTGGAACAATTGCAGTTCAAGAGACATTTTCAAGTAACAGCGCGTATTTTAAAAGAAAAACTCTAATTACGTAAAAACCAGCTGACGTATTTCAATGATTTCTTCAATAATTCGTTTAATATTAACTACTGAACCAAAAACGGTCAAGATTACTTAGATAACATCTTGTAATCAACTGCTACAAGACAATTTAAGTCAATGTTCGTAATTTAAACAAAATAAACTTGAATTGTTCATAACTTTTGAAGTAGAAATCCTAGCAACAAAATTTTTATGTCATTTCATAGAGAATTTAATGCTAAACATTTTAAGAAATAAGTAATAATTACTTCGCATTTAATTTCGTGGTAATTAATAAATAACTGAAACTATCTCACTTCCTCTGTCGTTTTACCTAAAAACCCATTCATTTTTAAACAAAAATTTTAATTACTTGTAAACTAATTAACTTAAATCATTGATTTCTTCAAAAATGTATTGAGTATTAACTGTCAAATATTATCCTCAAAAATTGTATTGATAACACTATGTTATCACAAGATACAAGACCATTTATCTCAATTCCACAAAAAAATCTAAACCTAAGCTAAACCTAACTTTGATTGTTTATAACTTTGTGTATAATACTCCAATCAATAAAATCTTTGTTTAATATGATAAATAATTTAATTTTAAATATATTGCGAGCAAAAACCATAACTCTACTCTTATTACTTTAAAAGTAATTAATAAATAAACAAAACTATCAAATTTTCCCACGCGCGTTAGTTAGACTCCCTCCAAAGCACTAATATTTCTTACACCACCCTATCGTGGTGTAAATGTGAATTATACTTCGATATGATTTCCGCTTGACGTCCGCCGAGATGAGCGCGAGCACGTCGCGCATAATACCAATGCAGGAATGCCAATATCCGACCCCCGGATTCGATTAAATTATGCCAACAGCGGCGCGAACGTTTGACATAGAAACCCATTTTCAATTTCATCCACCCATCTTCAAGACTTCCAATATATATCTACAGATAGATATCCATCGCGTATCCCTCGTTATTAAATTAAATCTCAATTTAATTTCCATCTATTGACAGAGGCAATAATGCCCATCAAAAATTACCAATTAAATTCCCAACCCAAAATAAATCTGCGTGCGCGGTGGAGATTACAATAAATAGCTAATGAAGCCGCACGTCGCGGAGAGAGATTCGCGCATTTGCCTCCTCCGCCGTGTGTGTGTGTGCGCGCGCTGCGCGCGCGATATGAATGAACTTTACGCGAAATACGAGCGGCCGTATAATGACAGGCGAGTCGGACGCGAGAGTAGACCGGGAACAATCAATAAAGCTCTCGAGGACACGCGCGCACCCACACAGGCGAAGAGGCGCGGCGGTGTGTGCGCGCCGCCGCCACCAGTCACAAACACACACACACAAGCGCCGGCAAACGCGCGTGGTGGAGGCGCCGGTGCAAAGAAAACACGCAAGAGACGCAAGACATCGCCAAACCACAAACATATTCAACTCAACCGAAAAAAATAAAATAAAATAAATCATTTCATTTTTATAATCACATCAATCAATCAATCATTACTCAAAAAAAAACTCATCAACGCGTGTAATAAAACAATTGAAGCGTGGGATCATCTCATACACCCACACTCACATTTCTAACATGCCAACGTCGTTAATTAATTATTAATTGATGACAAAACGCGCCTGGGTTGCGCTGGACGGAATGAAAAGTGCAAGTGCATTAATAACCCACGAGATAGAAACGCATTGCGCGCATTACGACCGGCCCACTCACTCTGTGTGTCTGTAAACGCTTTCGATTTCAACATTATTGCATTATTTCATGTCATTATGATGAAGAAACAAACCACCACGCCTAGCCAACAGCGCGATATCGGCAATATTTGCGTGCGAAAACCCGAGAACGACAAACAACAAACAGTCCGATGGATTAAACGTGCAAACAATTGCGCTGCGAGCCAAAGTTGAATAAATAAACACCAAATCAGATAATGAATCGACTGATTTACAGTTTTTTGTTAATAACTTTTCTAATTCTTCATAAATCACCATGAAAATTTGTATGGTGGTCAATAATGTCTGTATTTACTTAAATCCGGTTGAATATTTAAGAGTTATTAACACAAAACTTGGGAAATCGTGTTTTTTGTCGAAAGTTGAGATTTTCTTTGGTTTTTTGTCGATTTCGCACCTAAAATACAAAATGTAATGAGTTGTTATGTGGGAGTAGGTTACCTGAGGTAGATTCGCAGCAATCTGCCGAAGAAGAGCATCGCGTTCCTTCTCGACCTCCTGCAGCTTGATGTCGGTATCACCGAGGCGCTCCTGCGTCTCGCGCAGACTGTCCATGAGCTTATCGCGCTCATCGAGCATGGATACCATCAGCTGCTCGAAGTTGCCATCCTCAGCGGAGAACTGCGAGCTGCGCTGGCTGATGCTGTCCTCCGAGATGGTCGGCATCACGTCGCACATCATGTTCCACATGACGGCCGGCGGCGGCTACCGCCCGGGCCCCGAAGACGTCGTTGAACGCCGAATATACACGCGCGCTATCGCCGCCGGTCGGGCATCACGACGGCGAGGACGACGCTGGTGGGCCCAGCGGGCGGCCGGATCGAAGCGGCGGCGCCTTTCCGCCCTCTCCGCCGACGGCGTATCGATATCAACACACGGCGTGCCCGCGGACGCGGACGGTTCGCGCACACCGAGGATGAACTGCCCCGTGCCGGCAGCGAGCGAGTCAACTGAGGCGCGCCGCGGTCGCCGCGAGCGAATGGCACGTGCACGCTTTAATTGATAACAGGTCCTTCTTCGTCATTATCGACATTCTAGTCCTGGCGATGAGCACCGACACACCTACGAATCACACGCCGCACACAGTTAAACGCCGCGATACTGTCGTCCCCCGACGAGCCGGACAGCCATTTTGGAATATATGTCAATGTCGCCGCGTCGGTAACGCAGCGGTACAGGTTTCTGTAAACGCACGCCACAACTGCCACTACCAATCTCAAACTTCAAATAATTTCAACTGACAAACATGAAAAACTAACTAAAAACATGAATAAAACATCAAACTATACCGTATTTATACAAATAAATAATTTCTTTACCTACAATCAACATTTATACTGCAGAAAACATAAAAATTGTGCAGAAAAATTCAAAAATTAACCGTGTTAGGTTGGTAGCCCGCTGACATTGAAAACATATGTTTGCCCTGTTTCTCCACTTCAGTCCATCATGGCAATTGATAGTGGTGGTGCTCAGAATTTGTTAAATCGTTCTATACTCGATAAAACAACAAAATGCATCCGTTCAAGTATTTGACGAAGGGGCACTGGTCATCTAAAACATGTCCAAGCAGAAAAAGCCCCGCAAAGGGCAAACGAAAACTCTTGGGGGTGAGTATCGTTAGCACAATCGACCGTCTTTTGTTTTCTTTGTCAACATTTCACAATCACCATTAAAAAAAAGCAATTTTAAACATGAAAACGTGCTTTTAGAACATGATTTTAAACAAATATCAATATAACATACACATTTACACCATACAAAAGTAATTTTATAGTGTAAATTTCATTTTTCTTAATTTTACAAATAAAAATCTAAATTTTTAGATGTCACGATCAACGACTTCGCGAATTCTTCAGCTCCTAAGCATCGGCCTAAGAAGTCCAGTACCAGCGTCACGACCATCATCAAGCAACTAGAAGATCACGAAACTCAAACTCAATCAAAATCATGGGATGACCAAGAATTAGATGATTACGACTACATTAAGCAAGAAAATGAAGATGGTGAAGTAATTTACGTACTTAAAAAGGTTAAGAAAGTCAATTTAAACACAACAGATGTCACTGAATCAACAATTGACACTGGCAAAGACTATCCTGTCGATATCTGGTTCCTAATATCAGAATATATCAAACCGGAAGACATTGGTACTTTTGCGCGCATCTGCCGCACTTCTTACAGCATAACAAACACCGGCAAGTTTTGGTTCTCATTATATAAACGATATTATAAGAAAACAGTCGAATTACCAAGAAGACTACAGCCAGATTGTATGTTTCGGTTGTATGGCATCCGAATGCTCGTTATCAAATCTTTATATTATACGTATCCGCTGTTTGTGAATCAGTTGAAAGTCATCAAGACTGAAGAGCATCCGGATGTGTTGACCAAACGTATGTGCACGTTGATGTGGCATGTGAAATTCAAAAATCATTGGGTGTATTATTTTAAACTCAAAGAAATGGTGTATCCACCGCATTTAATATCGAATCGGGATGAAAAACGTGTGGATTTGATTGAATTGTTGGAAGATGTCGCTGCGAACGTTGAAGAAAACTGTAGAGTTCTGCAGATTACATGTTTGAGTTTCATTCCGGTACTTTCTGTGCAAGGGTATGTACTTAATTATTATAAGTTTTGCATTATCATGGTAATACTTAACTTGTTTGTATTATTTTAGGTTATTTCTTACATCTGTTGGTGTGACACTATCGCAAGGTTTTCGTCACAATCGTGTACAGCTAATATTCAACACCAATTTGATGCATGGAAAGTCCACAACTGAAGGAACAGTCTGTATTCTTTTGGATCCGGTAATAAATGTGCGTATTTTGGACTGGTGGCACCCATTGTATCCGCATAACTACAATCTGAACCTGTTGGTAAATCAAAACTTGAAAGAAATTGAATATTAAGAATAAATATTAACTAGAAAATTACATGTCGATAAAATTAAGTGTTTTGAGATGGAACCAGATACAAATTTAACTCAAAATCAAAATATTTGTGGGATATTAATATGATTATTACATTATAATCAAGGTTGTACAATAATTTTTATGCTTATGCTATGTTAAATAGTTTAGAGGTTTATTTCGGGGTTTATTTGTAAAAATATTCTTGTTACTATTTTATTACTATTATGGGATGCATTCTTATTTCAAATAAAAATTATGACCAATTTTGCTTAGAAACGTGTCTTTTGGGTTTGTTTGACTTGTAAGACGTGGATTAATATCATCAGTGAATATTTGATCAGTTATTTTGGGTTAAACATGACAAAACTTAATTTTGAATGAACATCTTCAACAAACATCGTAAAAAAGCAAGAAAACGACATATTTCTGCAATAATTACGAAATAAAACTCGAAAATTTACGAAAACAGTGAATAATTCAAGATAAAATTAAATAATTTTGAGTTTTATTGCTTAAAATACAAAGAATATTTTTGTTTAGATATAATTATGCCCCCTTTCAAGGGCTCCCAAAAATTGCCGTAGCGGCTGGTATTTCACAGCCTCATGGCGGGGTATTGGTTAAAGTTTTCAACTAGCAATAATCGCACCTCGGATAAACCTCATTGGTTACGATATCGCCTCTGCGCAAAGCTAACGACTACCTGTACCTGACCCTTCTTATTCCCATAACACAAGTTTTCTCCGAGAGAATAATTATAACTGCCATCTACATTTCTAAAAATTCATCACATAATCATATTTTTTTTTGTAAAATATCGTCATAGTACAAGTCACGTAATCATAAAAAGTAGAACTAACTCTTTCGAGCACCCAGCGTCCATCAATGAAGACAGCAAAGTCAATATTATGACTTTTTCCATTGCAAACACTTGAAACCGGACGAGCAGCACAATCGCCATGGCAAAAATTGGAAAATCAAGAGTATAACAGAAGAAAGAAGTGGCAGGACAATAAGAAAACTTAATCGCACATAATTTCGTTTGCACTTCCTACTTGTACTCTCAACTCACGAGTTTTATCACAAAACGAACGAGTTACAAAAAATTGAAGTTAATTCACGTCGTTGTCATATTTCCGCGAATTCTGCTCTGCAGAAATACATTGTGATTTTATTTCGTTTATTGTACACTAGTTTTCGTCCGCGATTTCTAAAATTTTTCTAAAATTTCAATTTTTTTATTATTTTTTTGTTTGACTTAAAAATTGCTACAAGAAAATATATTTCGAACTAGTTTTGCACGCGACTGCGTCTCGGTAGTGTTTAATAAAAATGTAATTCGTTTTTACTCCTTACTAATATTATAAATGCGAATGTCCTGATGTTTGTTACACTTTCACGCAAAAACTACTTAACCGATCATCATGAAAATTTGTACACATAATCTTAGTGGTCCCCGAATGGTTATAGGCTACTTTTTATTTAATAAAAAAAATTATTTTTTAAATAAAATAAAGAAATTGTTTAGCCAATAATACCTCTGCATCTGGCTATTTGACTACTTTAACGCCATCTAGCATTCCAGCAATGAAGCTCAAACCTAAGTACTATAGTACCATCACACTGTATTATCACACTGTATTACCGACAGCTACGTCAACATCAAATCCAATTGACTACACTATGGAGACTGTACACTATACTTCCATAGACTATACTTTCAGCCATTTTAAACTTCCCGCCATTCTACTTCATTGTTACTTCTTCTGTGACTACAGACGCGTACGGAAGCAACTTCATTATTTTAGATATTCGTGAGCGAAGCCGCGGGTTAAAGCTAGTTAATTATATAAAGAATTGCTAATAATACACTTCAGCGCGCCATCTCGGATGCAACTATTTAACTATAACTATGATTGAATCACAATGCCAACTTTTATCCTATAGAAAAAGGCTTTTTAGGGTTTTCCCGGCAATTATTCAATTTTTCTCGCCGTAAAAACCATCCTTGGACTTTAACGAACATTTTAAAAAAGAATTGGCCAAATTGATCTAAGCGTTGTTGAGTTATGCGCTTACCAACACATTTTGCGATGCATTTTTATATTATAGACTTCTACGAGTACTGGCAATAGGTTACAGTTATGTTTGCACCTGTTAACTACTTATTAAACGCTTCCCCAAGCAGAAATCCATCGAAACGCGTAAATCACGTTCGCGGGCGGCAAGCTGGTTACCATCTTGTTACCATATTCAACATGGCGGTGTCGGAAGGTGATAAATAAGTTTATAAAAAGTCGACTCCAGGGAAGAGCACGTGCCCACGATTTCAAATAAATCGCATTATCTACTCGTCATCATTGCGTGCCGCCAGCGCAGCATCCACATCCTCATGCAAAAGGGGCGATTATCGATTGGCACCGCGCACAGGTAGTACAAGTGTAGGTCCAGGTTATTGCTCCAGTTTCACCTCTTACCGTTTCACGTCGTTGCCAACACCGATGTCAATTATTATTATTTTATTACGATTTTTATAAAAATTTTCTTTAAATTTTTTTAATTTTTGTTTTTAAGTGTTTTGTGGTTGGAATCTTGAGTTAAAATGAATGATGCACTTGAAAGGGAAGTCGGTTAGTTTTATTGAGCATTTCTCCGAGGAATCCGCGAGCGTTATCTATGAATATTTCCTAGTTTTCCGTCTCGGCGCGCCGCGAATCTTTTTACGAGCCGCGCGCGTCCATAACTTCGCGCCGTCATTTTCGCAATTTACATCGCCGCCGTTTTCATATCTCTTAATATCACTGTTTGCTATTTTCATTACTCCAACATGCGTAAACATCATCTATGCACAAAGTTACAGCGAGGTGGAGTGTTGTAACAATGTTGTTGAATTTAATTAACAAATAACTGCATTAAAAGCACTAACAGAGATCAAAAGTCAAGAATTAACTCAAAAACACAGAAAAAACATTTCCACTTTAATTTTAGCAGATGGATAATATTATTTTATTTCTTTAGAAGATTAAAACGGTTTATTGCATTTTTACGCGTTTGATGGGATTTTTGACTGTCAAAATGTCAAAAACTAACATAACCCATAATAATAACTAGTGGGCTATATAATATTGTGTGTACAACTTATAGAAAATGCATATTGTCTATTGGTTGATGATTTTTACGATTTTATAAATTTCCAACCAATATTTTACTTTTTAAAGAAATAAAAACAATTTTTTGCATTTTTTACAAGTTTTTCAAGTTTTTTGACGGTTAAAATATCAAAAACAAACATAACCTATAATATTAACCCGTGGGTGACCTAATATTATGTGTACTACTTGTAGAAAGTGCATATTATTTATGAGTTGATACATTTTTTGATTTTATAAACTACAAAGTAATATTTGACTCTTTTAGAGCAATTAAAACAATTTTTTGCATTTTTTACACGTTTAGAAGTTTTTTGACTGTCAAAATGTCAAAAACTCACCTAACCTATAATAATTCCTCCTGGATGATATAATATTATGTGTACATTTTGTATAAATTGCCAATTGTTTATTGGTTGATGAACTTTAGTGATTTTGTAGGTTATTGTGGGAGTTTGCAACAGATGTGCATCTGTGCGTTTTCATGAATACCCATTCTGACCCGCAAATTGATTTCCAAACTCAGCGAAAGGCCACAATGCGCGGCGATGACAAGAATTGCATTTATCAAGCACCGCGCGCGGCGGGTTTAATAAGGACACTCCTTCGCGTGCGCGTATTGCGCGAAAATCTCATTTCCTCAAAACTACCAACTACGCTGAAACCGGCAAACAACGACCCCGCAATTTACGGCATGCTAACAATTTATTGACCTACTCCTACAAAATGTAGTCAAGTCAAGTGATATTTTGTTATAATAAACAATAATCTATTAATATAAAAATAAATCGCAAAATTTGTTGGTAAGCGCATAACTCAACAACGCCTCGACCAAATTGGCCAATTCTTTTTTTAAATGTTCGTTAAAGTCCAAGGATGGTTTTTACAGCGAGAAAAATTCGAATAATGGCCGGGAAAACCCTAAAACAGCCGTTTTCTATAGGATAAAAGTTGGCATTGAGATTCAATCATAGTTATAGTTAAATAGTTGAATCCGAGATGGCGCGCTGAAGTGCATTATTAGCAATTCTTTATATAATTAATTTCTTTAAAATAAAATTGCGAATCTTATTGATAGAATTGACACATACTATGTCTAGAACAAGATAGTTTAAACGAATTACATTTTTGTTAAACACTAATTATTAAATATTAGCATTTTTTAGTATCAAAAATGATGTTCGAAAACTTTTTGAATAAAAGGCCAACTTTAAATGGGTTGAATTTTAAGTTCGTTGTTGCGGGAACTTTGTGCGTCGACACCGCATATCAAAAGTGCGAAGCTGTCACGAGTGCAAAAACTAATTTCGCCGCGCCCGGCGCTAACTAACTGACTATGACTAACACAATTATGTTCATTGACTTCTAATTTGGACCAAGTGGTGTGGCATAAATTTATTAACAATGTTAACATTAAACCCGATAACATTTTCTATTTTTATTCATTGTTTTATGCCCGGGAAGGGTGACTGCGCATATTTTTGCTTTTATCTTATTGCAATATTCCTAAACATCACAACAAATGTTGGTTTAAAGATAGTCACGGTGATTAACACGCAATCTTGCGTATCAGTGGCAATTAAACGCAGCGCGCACATCCGGTGGGTGTTTACATGCGGTTTTTCCCAAAAAAAAGAGAAAAAATGCGAAAAAATTACAAAATTGGCAAAAAATTATTTAAAAAATTTAATAACAGCAAAACTTGAATGTTTATTTAAACAAAACCTATTTTATATGATAGAGGGATTATTAATCAACCTGTGAGAATTTTTTTACGCAAAAATATTAATTATTATAAGAGATATCAACAAATTACTAAAAAAAGCGTAAAATTGCTTTAAAAACGTGTTTTTCTGCTGATTTTTCATGCTTATTTTAAAATTTAGAACAAAATTTAACAATTTACAAGACAATTTATTTGTTAATTTAAAAATCTAACTTTTTAACCAAAATTTTACCAAAATAACGGCTTTTAAACCTTCTAAACTCCCCAAAAATCAATTTAATTTAAAAATTTTTCCCTAACCCCCATTAATCTACTGATACGTGCAATATATTTTCTTTACTCTGCATATCTCCGCCGTGCACACAGCCCGCCACCCAACACCCGCAATTCAGCACGCAATAAACTAAAAAATAACAACAATTGTTGCACCATCATTTTAGCGCGCACATCGCTGGTGCGTAGGCAGCGGCGGTGCGCCGGTGGCGGCACCAAAGAAGACGATGGATGCATGGAAAATCGAGAAGACCAGCAACACACATACCCATATCTCTGGGAAGTGGGCGCTGAGGACGCGAGAAGGATAACGTTGCGCGAGGCGGCGCGGTTGGCGGACGCGCCGCCAATGGGTGGAGCATGCCGCCGCCGATTTCGGCTATAAAAGAAGCGGCCGCGGCGGCAGCGGTCGTCCGCAACGCAGGTAGACGCGCACACCGCCGCTGGATACCACCATCTGAAGAGCTCACGATTCGCAACCCAACGAGCAGCAGGCCGACGCATCGGAAGCAACTTCATCAAACTTACAAGTTTTCACGCATATTCACGCAGTTTTCGACTACTACAAGACAAGTAAAGTGAGTAGAAGTTATTTTTATTATTATTATGGTAGATTTATGGTAGTTTTTGGTGGTTTTTGACAGTTTTTTGCAATTTTTTGACAAAATTTTTTAAAAAATTTGATTTTTGGCATTAAAAGTTAATTTTTTGGCTAAATATTAAGGAAAATCTTATGAAAATTTAATTTTTTATTAAATTTATCAAAAACACGTTTTATTTCGGTTTATTTTCGAGATTTTTTTGATTTTTTGCAAATTTTTAAGAAAATTTTTCTAAAAATCATTTTTTTTTGATAAAATCTTTAATTTTACTTTAGAATTCCACTGGCTAATGTAAAATAATATTTATTTAAATAATTAGTTCAATTTTTTCCATCAAAAACAACTAAAAACCCCAAATTTTAAACATTTTCATGGTGAATGCGCCGGTTTCCCACGCAAAATCCCATTTAAATTGAAAAAACCACTATAGTTACGTTGTTTTGTCTTTTATCAATGACTATCGACTTATATTGAAATGCGTGTGTTCGAAGCGTATTAAATGCGATCGAGAAGTGATTGACGCGCTTTTATCGTCGCTTAAAACCGGTGACTTGCAGCGTTGTCAACGATTGATAGTCACGTGCGTGACAGCTAGTTTAAAAGCAACAACCAAACAAAAAAATAAAAAATAAAAACACAAAATGTTATAAAATTTAATTTTTGAAAGAAATTCATTGTTGCGGTATCGTGATACGCTTCAATTAACATTTTACGACACCCGTGATACTTGAATGTTAATTAATGCAAAACGTGTTGCGTATAATTGAGTCACACACGTTCGCAGATTGTTTTCGTTATTTTTCCCTGCATAAATTTATGCAGGTGCAAATGGTACTTCATTTAAATAACATGTATAGCAATAATTTTCAAAAAATAGAAAGAAATTTTATTTTTAAAGAAGTTTTGATCAAAAAATGGATAAAAATTGATAGTTGACCTTTATTTGTGAATTTCCGTGGTTGTTTTCGTTAAATGTGTGTTATCCTGGCAAGGGGCAATTGCCTCAAGTTAAGGGTGAGTGCCGCACACGAGGGTGGTACGATCGTACGTGCTCTTGACACGCTTCGCTGCGATTTTTCGTGTTTTCCGGAATATCGCGTCGAGCACAACAATTGCAGACGGCGAAACGCGAACGACACGAACGAGCGAACGCTTACGACCGCAATTGTGCATAAACATTTATGCTTATTATCGCAATTGATAATATTTAAACTGGTTAACTGGTTATTTTATTGGGTAGAGATTGTGTGATGAATAGTTTGAGTTTTGCACGTTTTTTGGATTAAGAACTATGTAAAAGTGTTAGGTAAATACATTTTGGTGAAATTTTGTTGGTAATTATTGAATTATTTTAGAAATTTAAATTGATAATGATAAAGGATTAAATCTTTTATTGGGAAATATAATTTTTATTGAGATTTTGTTTATAGTTTGTTAGTTATTAACGTTTAAAGTTAATATTAATAAAAAGTCAATTTGAAGAAAATAAAAATTGAAATTGTTTGGTTTTTTGGTCATAACTTTTACAAATATTATTATTTTCACGATTTTCTTTTATAATATTAAAAAGGAATAAAATTGTTTTATGAAATCATAAAAATATAATAAAATTGTTGTTATTTTATTGTGTTAATAACGATTTAAAAGTAGTTGTTCATTTTTAAATTTTTTTCTTGCAATTTCACTTAAAACTTGAAAAATCATTATAAATAATAACATTTTTAAACAAAACTTTGATAAAACAAAAACTAGATAAAATTCCCTATATTTTACCGTTTATTTCATAAAAATTAATAAAACCACAACGCCGAAATCTTTTTTTGAACAATTTTTATCTCAAACTATTAAAAACTATTGTAAACATCATTATCCCTGCAATTTTTTACTATTTATTAATTAAAGTAATTAACTGCACAACAAACTTGATATCGATTGCGTCACGTCGTTAATAACAATCAATCGGGCGCAACTCCTAGAACGCAAACATTAATATCGCGTCCTGTGCGATGCTCCACAGCTCGTGACACTCGTGGCACGCGTGCGATGCTCACGTGTGTTTGCACAATATTTCCCAAGCGCGCCGAAAAACCCCAGCCGCCTATACAACCGCCGCCGCCGCCGTCGAGCGCTATCGGCGTTCATTACTCATTCATTTATTTCTAATCGGCGCATAAATTACTCCGCGTAATTGTGCGGCAGCCTTAATCAAACAAGTCGACAAGCGTTTAATATGGCAGCGATGGCAGTGATTAAGTTTGTTAGCACGAATAGACAATACAATACGACAAAAATTATCAAAAGAATAGAATAAACATGATAATATAACAACAACAATAAAGTTTAACATGTGAAAAAGTGTAAAAAGCGAAAAATGCACGATGGGATAATGTATACCTGCGAGTATGAACACATCAAACGCTTGTTTGGTTTTCAGGCGTTTTTCGAAATTACCATCGAGGTAGAAATAAAAATGTTACATGCTCGACATGTAGGGAAGCAAAAAGTTTGTTGTGTTTTACACATCCGCAATTTTTTTGAATTTTTATTAGGGTTTTATGTTCTGTTGGAGGTTTTTGCGCGATTTTTTATTTTGTAAACAAAAATTTGCTTATAATTCAAAGAATTATGATTTGTAATGTAATTTTTAAAATTTAAATCGGATTTATTTTTAAATTATTTACTTGTCAATAAAATAATCGTTCAGTATTAATTTTTAATGCAATTTTTGATTTTTTATGAAATTTTGTTTTATTTTAAACGCGCAAGCTCCACCCCGTGACTAAAACCCGTGACTAAAGTACTTTAGTCACAGCCTTGGCCGCTCCGTGTTTAAAATACCACTTTTTGCGTCTAAAAACCGTGGAAACCGTTTTAAAAAATTGAAATTGAAAATTTTTAATGCAATTTTTGCTATTTTTAACAAAATTTTGTTTTATTTTGTTGTGTTTAGTAGTTTTTTTAAGTTTTTACTTTACTACCATGTTTTTAAGATGTTTTTAATAAAATAATTTCTAAAAGCAAACAGTCAACTGACAAACGTTTACGAAACGTTAGCACTAATTACAAAACGCTCTCGAGAACAAAGTAAAAGGTGCGGTAGTCGCCTACACTTCATAATTAGGCCAGAACATAATTAACTGATTAAATAGGACCCTTATTTTTTAAATTATGATTACCCAAAACTCAAAACAAACACCAGAACACAATAATATTATCTTCTTCTTATAATTTCCGTCAAAAAACGTTAAAAACAAAAATATTAAAAAATAATTTTAAAAATCAATAAAATTGAATGTATCGAATGATATTAGAGGTAATTTCAATGATTTTAAGGGTTGAAATTTCCATAACAAGCCATTAACGATGCCATTACCTAATAGACATTTACGACAATATCAACATAATCATAATCGTAATCATTGCAGTAGTTTAAACCCATGTTTAAGCCGAAACAACGGTTGACAATTTAATGCACCGCCGTGCTCGGTAATGGCGCATTGATTTTATCTAATAAACGAAGTACATATTAATTGTTAATTGAAAACATCAACAAATCGACAACTAAATGCACCCAAGCACGAAATCAATGATTATTTAATTCACATTGTGTAATTGAAACTTTAATTGCCGATTGTAATTGTAATTAGTGCGTGAATAAATTAACATTATTCAATTAACTTAATAATTATACATTTCAATAACTAAACCAAAATAAAATTAATTTTAATTTAGTGTAAATCATGTGTATGCAATTATATTAACATGAGTGTATAATTGGTTGCCTATACTTTGAAATAAAGAAAAAGTAAAATATAAAACTTTCTTCTTTATATAATGCATTACTTGTTGCTGGTGGGTGCAACGCAAGGAACCAAACGAGTAAACTTGTCGTAACTACGCAAACATTAAACTTTGATTACCAATATTGGCCTGATCCGTCCGCCGCATCGTTTCATCGCTCGTTAAACAAGACGCATTCGAACCACCAACAGCGCGAGTAACTTTAAAGAATAATGTACATAATGTGCTCGAAGCAATTGAAAGACGACGCCAACGCACAAAACCGAGCGCAGTGTGTGTGCGTGTGTTGTCGTCGTCGCAATGAGCTGCATGTCGACGACGAGATCTTTTCAAATATTGAATCATTATCTGGATGATACTCACGATACTCGCTGTCAATCAATAACGAGCGTTTGCTTGCGCTGTAGTTCTGCGTAGGCTTTGGTTTATGATGCGATGCAGCACAAATGATTGAAGCAAACTTAAATAAATACTACTTGTAGACACAATTGAGCATGTAATATGTATGCAGCTTGAATAAATGATTGTTTCAATTGCTATTTTCGTCGTGGAACTTCGAATCAAATCAAAAATTGAAAAAGCTTAAAGGTTTACTGACAACTGTCAAACGTGAAAAGTGAAGTTACAGGAATCACCGCTAGGGGCGCGCATGTATTATGAAGTTAATATGTATACAAAGTCACGTACCTTGCAATATTTTCAAAATAAAAAACATAAAAACAAACTAAAAACAATGATAAAACATAAAATATACATGGTAAACACTTTATTTTTATATAACAACGCAAACAAATCACTACTTCACTATTTCCCTTCAGTATTTTAACGTTTTTCACCTTTTTTGGAGACATTGAGACGAAAAACAAACCTACTCGACTAATAGCACCAAAATAAAGCAAAAATAAAGTGATTCTAAGTGCTATTGGAAGGTAGAAGTGAGTGGAAAGGTCCAAAGACACCCAAAACCACATTAACAATGAATAGGCACAAATAAAAGTCGTTTTCTTAGCCCTCGAGTTCTTTACGAACGAAATTACTTTGCAAACGGTGCATATTCGATGTGTTTGCTTTCAGCCGAACATCCACGCTGAGAAAGACAAGTTAGACAAGTTAAAACATTCAGATACAATTAGTTAGCTCCACTAGATGATAAATGAAGTAATTATTTCATGCAG